ATGGAATATAACAAAAAGTGTATCTCGAGCCGGTTTCTCAAACGTACCTATCCCACCTTTAAGGCAGCCCTACAAAATATATTAGATTTATTTATTTGTGCAGATCTTAGTACTAATGATCCGTTATGTCTTTAAATTAGGTTTGAATAAACTGTACGTTGCTTATTCTCTAGAAAAACATCTTGTTTCTAGTTCATTCCATTTGAAAGGCATATTGAAACCATAACATGAGGGATATCTGATGTTAAGTAGTTGGTGGAGATTTAAGAGAGAAATGTTATTTTGGAAGAACTTGGTTAATGTGTGCATATGTGTAAATGTGTCTTTTGATTGTGTATATATACGTATTTGCTTACATATTTGTATATATATATGTTTTTGTATTTGGGATTGTGGGAAACGGTATTTTGATCTCTTTGTCTGTACACACAAACTGAAAGATTGACAATAAAGTTGACTTTGGCTTGAGCTGATGTTGTGCGTCTCCTCCCTGCAGACTGGCGAAGAAGTCGTGGTTCGGTAACTTCATAAATCTGGAGAAAGAGGAGCAGATCTTCATCGTTATCAGAGACAAACCTCTGAACTCCATCAAGGCCGATATCGTGCACGCCTTCCTCTCCGTAAGAATGAAACTCCTCCTCTTTAACTCCTGACAAACATACATCTTCTTCTTCTTCTTTTGTGGTTTGAGGAACTTGTACTTTATTTGAATATTTATCATTCATGCCACCTTCTGCTAGTAGCTCATTAAATTAACATTTAAACTGCATTTACACTTACAAATTAATATAGATCTACATATAGAAAACATATGAACAATGTGACCAAAAGAGCAAGCTTTTACTTTGTTTCAGTCATTGTTGAACTGTAGTATGACAACAGTTCATTGTGCAGCGGCACCTCCTTGTCTGTCGGTGCTGAAGATGACTCTGACGCTGTAAAAAAGGGGGACATATTTCAGTGTAACACCGTCTCCTTCTGCTGCTGCCATCCTTATTCCTGCAGAAGCTGTCTGTATGTGCTGACTCACACTCGCTCCTCTCTCTCTCTCTCTCTCCCCCCCTCCCTTCCCTCTCTCTTTCAGATCCCCAGCCTGAGTCACAGCGTCATCTCTCAGACGAGTTTCCGGGCGGAGTATAAATCGTCCGCCGGGCCGACAGTTTTCCAGAAGCCGGTGAAGTTCCAGGTGGACATCACCTTCACGGAGAGCAGCAGCGCCACCAAGGACAACGGCATCTACTCCGTCACCTTCACCCTGCTCTCAGGTAACAACATAATAAACACAATACTTGATCATCACACAATATAAACCAGTATATTTTGTTATCCTGGGGAAAAGTGGGTGAGTGACAGTTGCTCCATTTTCGAATAAGATATTGTAAATAGAGGGAAGTGAGTAGAGAGGAAATTTAAATTAAGATGTATTATTTTGGTGTTGGTATTCCAGATTAATATGAATGTGCAAATCAGTTTCGGAGATAAAAGGTGGGCAAAGCGCAAAAATACTCCAATAAATCTCAGAATGCTTCATAAAATGTGATTGAGGACTCGGAGTCTGGTATATACTTTAAAGGTCACCTAGTAGTATACATGAACATGTGTCCCCTCTGTGGAAAGAGACTCTGAAAGTTTCAGGAACAAAGATTCTCTCTCTTTTTGTCCTGATCCATTTCTATAAAAACCTGTCAGATTTTGGCCACTTTATGATGTCATAACGATGTGTTGGCTTGTGTAACCATTAGCAAGGTAATCCCCCCCCCC